TGAACTGTAGTGGAGTAGAAGTACACCATGTACCTCTGAACTGTAGTGGAGTAGAAGTACACCATGTACCTCTGAACTGTAGTGGAGTAGAAGTACACCATGTACCTCTGAACTGTAGTGGAGTAGAAGTACACCATGTACCTCTGAACTGTAGTGGAGTAGAAGTATACCATGTACCTCTGAACTGTAGTGGAGTAGAAGTACACCATGTACCTCTGAACTGTAGTGGAGTAGAAGTACACCATGTACCTCTGAACTGTAGTGGAGTAGAAGTACACCATGTACCTCTGAACTGTAGTGGAGTAGAAGTACACCATGTACCTCTGAACTGTAGTGGAGTAGAAGTACACCATGTACCTCTGAACTGTAGTGGAGTAGAAGTACACCATGTACCTCTGAACTGTAGTGGAGTAGAAGTACACCATGTACCTCTGAACTGTAGAGGAGTAGAAGTACACCATGTACCTCTGAACTGTAGTGGAGTAGAAGTACACCATGTACCTCTGAACTGTAGTGGAGTAGAAGTACACCATGTACCTCTGAACTGTAGAGGAGTAGAAGTACACCATGTACCTCTGAACTGTAGTGGAGTAGAAGTACACCATGTACCTCTGAACTGTAGTGGAGTAGAAGTACACCATGTACCTCTGAACTGTAGTGGAGTAGAAGTACACCATGTACCTCTGAACTGTAGTGGAGTAGAAGTACACCATGTACCTCTGAACTGTAGTGGAGTAGAAGTATACCATGTACCTCTGAACTGTAGTGGAGTAGAAGTACACCATGTACCTCTGAACTGTAGTGGAGTAGAAGTACACCATGTACCTCTGAACTGTAGTGGAGTAGAAGTACACCATGTACCTCTGAACTGTAGTGGAGTAGAAGTACACCATGTACCTCTGAACTGTAGTGGAGTAGAAGTACACCATGTACCTCTGAACTGTAGTGGAGTAGAAGTATACCATGTACCTCTGAACTGTAGAGGAGTAGAAGTATACCATGTACCTCTGAACTGTAGAGGAGTAGAAGTACACCATGTACCTCTGAACTGTAGAGGAGTAGAAGTACACCATGTACCTCTGAACTGTAGTGGAGTAGAAGTATACCATGTACCTCTGAACTGTAGTGGAGTAGAAGTACACCATGTACCTCTGAACTGTAGTGGAGTAGAAGTACACCATGTACCTCTGAACTGTAGTGGAGTAGAAGTACACCATGTACCTCTGAACTGTAGTGGAGTAGAAGTACACCATGTACCTCTGAACTGTAGTGGAGTAGAAGTACACCATGTACCTCTGAACTGTAGTGGAGTAGAAGTACACCATGTACCTCTGAACTGTAGAGGAGTAGAAGTACACCATGTACCTCTGAACTGTAGTGGAGTAGAAGTACACCATGTACCTCTGAACTGTAGAGGAGTAGAAGTACACCATGTACCTCTGAACTGTAGTGGAGTAGAAGTACACCATGTACCTCTGAACTGTAGAGGAGTAGAAGTACACCATGTACCTCTGAACTGTAGTGGAGTAGAAGTACACCATGTACCTCTGAACTGTAGTGGAGTAGAAGTACACCATGTACCTCTGAACTGTAGTGGAGTAGAAGTACACCATGTACCTCTGAACTGTAGTGGAGTAGAAGTACACCATGTACCTCTGAACTGTAGTGGAGTGGAAGTACACCATGTACCTCTGAACTGTAGTGGAGTAGAAGTACACCATGTACCTCTGAACTGTAGTGGAGTGGAAGTACACCATGTACCTCTGAACTGTAGTGGAGTAGAAGTACACCATGTACCTCTGAACTGTAGTGGAGTAGAAGTACACCATGTACCTCTGAACTGTAGTGGAGTAGAAGTACACCATGTACCTCTGAACTGTAGTGGAGTAGAAGTACACCATGTACCTCTGAACTGTAGTGGAGTGGAAGTACACCATGTACCTCTGAACTGTAGTGGAGTAGAAGTACACCATGTACCTCTGAACTGTAGTGGAGTAGAAGTACACCATGTACCTCTGAACTGTAGTGGAGTAGAAGTACACCATGTACCTCTGAACTGTAGTGGAGTAGAAGTACACCATGTACCTCTGAACTGTAGTGGAGTAGAAGTACACCATGTACCTCTGAACTGTAGTGGAGTAGAAGTACACCATGTACCTCTGAACTGTAGTGGAGTAGAAGTATACCATGTACCTCTGAACTGTAGAGGAGTAGAAGTATACCATGTACCTCTGAACTGTAGTGGAGTAGAAGTATACCATGTACCTCTGAACTGTAGAGGAGTAGAAGTACACCATGTACCTCTGAACTGTAGAGGAGTAGAAGTACACCATGTACCTCTGAACTGTAGTGGAGTGGAAGTACACCATGTACCTCTGAACTGTAGTGGAGTAGAAGTATACCATGTACCTCTGAACTGTAGTGGAGTAGAAGTATACCATGTACCTCTGAACTGTAGAGGAGTAGAAGTACACCATGTACCTCTGAACTGTAGAGGAGTAGAAGTACACCATGTACCTCTGAACTGTAGTGGAGTGGAAGTACACCATGTACCTCTGACTTGTGTTTACTGCCAACCTAAAAGTACCTCAAAAATAGTAATCAATAATGTATTGAAAAGTTATTTGGCTGATTGTTTTATATTTGGCTCAGACAGGTTATATGGGAGGCCCAGTCTACGTACAGATCACTCATTTTGAAATATTAAACTTAGTTTTCTTTTCTTTAATTTTTCATCTTCGTGTAGAAGGCTATCACGAAACACACATTTGGTTGTTTATAGCATAAAGAACATCTGATTTAATGTGAGGTAGGGAAATAATCATTTGAGTATGTGTATATAAATATGTAATTTACAACAGCTGTAAGCTGCTTGAAAAGCTGGAAAATGCACCTTGAAAATGCTTGAAAAGTGCTTGAATTTGACTTTGGAAAAGGTGTAAGAACCCTGAAGCTGATTCTGAACTGAAATGTGAGCCTCCTCACAGTGAAGTGATCATCCCGTCTTCAGCAGAGTGCTCTGGTGTTACTCTCTCTCTGTGGAGCTACTCAGCCCCACAACCTTCAATAACCTGTCACATAAAAAGTGGATGAATGTTCTTTCATTTTGAAATGGAAATGTGTCTGCAGGCTGTGTTCTGAAGCAACACTCATCTTGACATTTCCAGTTATTTCCTGTTGCTGTCACACAGCAAAGAACCTGCACTGGTGATATTATTCAATGAGTTCCTCTGCAGCAATAAAGCGTCTCCACTGAGCTGGTGTCTGAGTCATCAACATATTATAATAACAGACGTCTCTGTGTGTGTGTGTGTGTGTGTGTGTGTGTGTGTGTGTGTGTGTGTGTGTGTGTGTGTGTGTGTGTGTGTGTGTGTGTGTGTGTGTGTGTGTGTGTGTGTGTGTGTGTGTGTGTGTGTCAATGAGTCTCTCACCATCCCTCGACCGCAGTACCGCTCTCTGCCTGAACACAAACTGATCCATTATCAGGGAGTTTATTGAAACACAAATATCATAAATGTATATGGACAGAATTTTGTATATAAACATAATTGTAATGTTTCTTGATCGAAGAATGCAAAGAATGTGAATGGAGCATAGATCTATGTGTATAACATAAATGCTACCCACCATACACAGATTAGCAAGAAAGGTGGTCAGCAGAACATAATGATGTGCATCCTATGTGTGGAACAGCTCAGTGTCAGCATTAATGGCAGTGAGTTAATCAATTATACAATAATTACATGTGTCTTAAAAACAATGGTTGCTATAACAAGAGGCTAAAGGATACGACTAAAGGTCATTATTATTTTCTACAATAATCTGAAATCAAACTGAAAGATCCATTCGTTTTTGTCAAGGTAGCTAAACTTCTGGAAGGATGACTCCACCCAAACTTCTGCAGATATTCACAATGTGGAACTTTATGAAAAATAATATCAAACATTTTCACCAGATATTGCCACTGAAAACTAAGTGTATCCTCTTCAACACATCAGGAACATGCAATTGGCTCGTCATTACCTCGATCTACCATTCACAGACTGTACTCCTTAAACACAGTTAATGTCTTTGATTCTTTCCTGCTTCGGCATGTTCAACATGTGTTTCTCTCCCACGTTGGTGTTTCTTGTGACACCCCCCCCCTCTCCTCTGGGTTCATGTGTTGTCTTGTTTGTTTTCCTGCATGTTGTTCCTCTTGTCATTCAGATGCTTTATCAACCTCAGGCAAGTCTGCATAATTACATTTTTGTTCTGTAAATATTTTCGGCTTGAAGAAGTTGTGATTTCCATAATCCTTTTTGATGTTTAGTTTATCTCAAGTTATCTGCATCACGTCTCTCTGTTTTTTGTCTTTGTAGTTTATCACTTTTTAATCTCTTCATTTGTAAGGGAACAGACATTTAGCCCTTCCTGCCTGTGCTTTTCTACAGAATGACTTATATATGCAAAGAAACAGATCCAGTCAGATGAAAAACTTGTATTTCCCAAATGTGTTTTTTTTTATCTTTTAAAAGCAAGTTTCAAGCAGAAATACTGTGTGAAAAAATAGTTTTATACCGACGTGGAGTTTGAAAATGCTAAAATATGGACCATGATACTTGTTTTGAGCCGATGAGGTTGAAAATAAATGTGCATAAGGTTTAAGAGATAACATATGATGATGCTGAGGCTGAAGGTGTACTGTGAGGAGTTGGGAACTGGGCAGGTGTCATAGTGAATTAGATTTCTTTTTTAAAAGCAACTTTAAGTCTTGTTTTGACCAGAGAGGTACGTATTTATTTCTAGGGCATAAATCAATCAGCCTAAACCAAATCATAATAAATTAACTCATCGACTAAAGACATAATTTTCCAGACAAAAAGCAACAAAGAGTCAATTTACCGACTAAGAGCGGGTAGCCTTAACATTTTCAGAATAAAAGTGAAAAATATGGATAGGGATGTTCATGTTTATCTACTTTGAAAATAAACAAACAACTGTGTACTTTGTCATTACAGGTCTCGTCAGACTCTCTTCAGTGGGGTGTGCATCATTACCCATAATGCCACAGGTGTGAGCCCTCCAGGTTATTGCACAAACGCCCATCAGACACCTGCAGACCCTTGGCCAATCAGCAACCAACCATCCTCCTCTGAGGTGCCATGGCAACAACATCAGTTCACAGACTCATCGGTTCCCGGTCGCTGCACTGAGGACAGGAATAAAACAGGAGAAAAGCATTCTGGGAGTTTTTAATAGACTTGGTTTTCCTGCCACAGAGCAGCAGAGAGGTTTCTCTGAATTGGAAAACAAGGATCACTCTTTTCCTGATCCTGGGAGCTGGGATGCAAATGTAATAAAACCGGAGCAAAGTTCAAGTGTTGAACAGGATGTAATGTAACAGAGAGACACCTAACATTTTTTAACAAGATTTAGCAAAATGCGGGGTTACAGGAGGTGACATGCGACTCATTCTGCCATGCAGCGCCACGACCTGCAGAAACCTCAAAGAACTTTCCTCTGAACGCTTTTAACCACACGCTGGATGTATCAACACCCACACACACACACACACACGAAAACTGAAACCAAATCCAAGCTGAGCGAGGAATTCTAAAGTGCTCCTGGTTATTATCAGCCCCTGCGCTTCCTATTCTCCTCTTTAATCTTTGTATTCTGAGTAATCATCTTTTTAATTAATGGGGACAGCAGTGTGAAATCTTCCCCCCGCCCCTACACTCTAGTCCCCCACCGCCACCGAGAGCCACCTGAAACCAATTAGCAACAGCACATCTAGATGGGGATTAGACACAGAAAGACGCATTAGATACAAACAAAAACGAGGAAGAGATAGGCGAGAGATCCAAAAAGGGGAGGGGTTATTGATAGGTGGGCGGGGCAGAGGGAGGAAATGGCAAGATCAGAGCGTCAGCAGGAATTGAAGATATTAACCAGCTGTGAGTCAGCTGACTGCCGGCATGAGTCTTGACCGCCCTGCTCTGAACTTGGTGGGGGGGCGAGTGAGAGAAGTTTATATAGAGGAGACCATCAGGGCCAATTAAGAGAGCCTGATTATACGCCTTAATCTCGGCAGAGAGGAAGAAAGAGGGGAGGCAGAGCAGGTGCCTCCGATACACCCCATTATCTCAGCCCGTCTCTAATTGAGTCTGTTTTTGCTGTTTCCCTCACCGTGTCCACACACCACATCTGTCTTCCTGTTGAGACAAGGCGGGAAGGAAGGGTTCAGAAAAAGCCCTTTACTTCTTTCATGTTTTTATTTTTCGCCAATTTGATTTGCTCAATCCGGAGGACATTTTTTATTTTCTCTTTCATCCGCTTTCTCTTTCCTTCTTCAGATAACAGGGACAGAGACTGATAGACAGAACAAGTGACTGCAAGGGGCTATATCTGGAGAGGACAGCAGACGTTATCCCCTCAGTCCCAAAGCTTCACTTTCTCTCCTTAAAGTTCCTCTTCTCCAAAGAGCTGTTCCCGGCTCTCCTCCTTGTGGATTGTAAACTCTGCTGCTCTGACCTGAGAGATTACTCTGGCTTCCGTTATCAGGAGGAGTCTTTGATATCGTCTCCTGCTGTTGTCATCTTCATTCTGTGAGTACTTCCGTCCCTTTTCTCTGTCTCTGTCCTACTACTCTCTATTTCCTTCTCCCTGTTCTGGTCTCCTTCTTTCTGTCGTTGTTCTTTTATTTCTCTAACAGAGTACAAGATTGATGCAGCTTTACGATACAAAGCCCCCGGTACAGGATGTTCATTTGTTGTTTAAAATGACCCATTTCTGAACTCTTGGACGGCAGTGTTCTTTAAGGCCTCCTGTTCCTCTGCAGAATACAGTAAAGCTCCTCCACCATGCTGTTACTCTGGCTGTTCTCCTAAATAATGGAATCTCAAGCCTCTTTGTACTTGCGTCAGTTTTGTAGCCTTAAACAACACGTAGATTGACTGAAGACGATTAGGGCCACACACATGAGGAAACTTTTTGGGATGTGACCAAATTCAAAAACGAAAAAAGTATTTCTGACATGTGGCCCTAATCCTTAATCTCTGAATTCTGAGAAAAAAGTGAGAAAACCAGTCAGTTTTTTGAACTTTTGGCCTCGTCCTAAAAAATGTTTCTCATGTGGCCCTAATCCTCTTCTGTATCGATAATGTCCATGAAGTGCAATGTGTTTTTGTTCAAGAAGTAGTATGGAAATGTATCTTCAAGTTTCGCAATTGTAAAAAAAACTTGCAGTTTTTAAAAGAATAATTTTTTTTAATGTATTTATAGAAGGACCATGCATACAAAAACATTAATCTCAGCAGAGAGAAGAGATGCAATATGCCAGATTATAGCTAATGGCTCATTTCCATCTGTGGTCCTCAGACAGGTTCATAACAATCAATAGTTTCATCGACTAATGCTATGACAGGATTGAGTGGATTTTGGCTGATTGGTCAGTGTATGTTTTGGTCATTGGATTTTCTGGTCATTTGGATATTCAAAAACAAAAAACGACTGGATATTTAATTTTAGTTTTAAAATTGAAAAACCAAAATTGAAATACAAGGCGTTTTTCTTTATCATGGTCAAAAAGGGATTTACTAAACTTAAAAATGGGATGATTTTCATTTTCTACTTCTCAAAACAAAACAAAAAATCACTAGAAAACAGAAACAAAAAAACTACAGTTTTTTCATATTCTGCTACCGGAAGTTACCTTTCAAAATAAGAGCGCAGATGAGGTAACAAATCCGTGTATCTATGGTCCATGTGTCTTTCTTTATTAAACAAGTAAAGGGAAGAGCGTCTGCGAGGCGTTTTTGCTTTTTACCTTACTAAATGGTCTAATGGTCCTTTGAGCGACGGGCGGGGCGAAACTCACGGAAGTGATTTCCAAACAAAAGCACTCGTTTGCTTGGAACGGTGAGAATATTATTAACAAGGGGAATTTAGCGATCACAATGAAAACGGCCAAGACACACATTGAGCCCAGAAAATGGATGTTATTAAGGGCTGTAAATATAATAGGCCTGTGTCTAAAATGGACAACATTGTTAGGAGATTTAAACTATACAGCGATTCTGCACTGCGGTCACTCCGCAATAAAATGAAGTACTTTTACTCAGGGGCGGGGGGTACTGTAGGCTAGGGAAGGCTAAGCCTTCCCAAATATTTTTGTCACTGCATCCTTGTAAAATAAAAATATAATAATGTTTGTGTCTTTGACATTAGCGCTGCTATGCAGCCACCTGTGCCCTGTACTACGAAGCCAGTTCAACAGACCCTGGATATGTTTGAGTTATCTTAACTAACCCTAACAAACGAGCAGTTTTGTGTTGCAGAGAATACCCTGCAACACTCAGATAAAACAAACAAAAAAATCGATTTAATTATATAAATAACATGTAATAAATGTAATAAAATGAATAAATGAGAATCTTATCCGTGTTGTTGATCTGTAATATTACAGTGTTACGTTGATTTGTTTGTCCTTCTCGGACCATGCACTACGCATTTCAGTAGAAAAGAAAGCAACCAATCAGATCTTGTTCTGGGTCTCTGGGTAGAATATCCTTCAACCAAGGTATTCTACATCCTTGATCGAATGCCCTGGCCGTTGCACTGAATGAGAGCGTACGTTTGGACTGACAGTTTGATCAACCAATCATATATTGATTTGTAGCCAATGGGCGTATTCTTTCAGAGTTCCCCTCGGTTCCAGGGTGTTCTAGAAGGCCCGCTAGTTCACTGGCTCGAGACAGAGGATCTAGATGAATGTGACGAAGCAATTCATGCCGTTTTATTGTTTTTAACGTTGAAATGACAAGTGCAACAGGTGAAGATGAAGTTGTTGCGGAATTGTTGTGAGTACCCTTTTCAAGACGACAATTCAGTGAAAAGACGGACATTATAATGCTAATGAGGGGGGGTGGGGGGGGGGGGGGGGGGGGGGGGGGAGGGGGGCGTATGTGTCTACAGAAGGTCCAGTTGTGATAGACACGGTTCGCCACTGCAAACGAGATCTCGCTAAGTGGTTCTACGACGCTGGTTATCAACTCGGTAAATCAAGCCAGGGTTGCGTTCGGATAATCCAAAAATCAGCTCCTAACGTCTAACCCTATCGTCTATTCCTTGACCTCTGAGTGAAACGTCACAGGGTTAAGGGATAGTGGATAGGATAATTCAAAAGGACTTAGGAGAAGAGACTGCGGTACTTTAGAGAATCCGACTGCACTTTCACTATCTGACGTGTTTATTATTTTTGTATTTATTCTACTAAAATCATACAAAAACGTATAATTCATACACACAATGAACAACATGAGTAGAAGCGGGAGGGCTGAAGCATAGCTGATGGGGAGTAGCCCTCCCGTGCATCATCATTAGCATCAATATAATAATGGCATTTATTTCGTCAAAAACGTATAGAAATGAAGGAGTACAAAGAAATTAAGAAAACTAATGAAAACTGAAAAAATAAAATAAAATAAAAGTTAGGGCAAGAAAAAAGTAAATGCATATATAAATAACACTGGGAATATCCAATACTTGTTAGCTGGAGTAATCTGCAAATATAATTGTTTTTACTTTAGTTTTGAATTGTTGATGACTAGTGATACCTGAGAGGTCTGGGTGAAGTCCATTCCACGCTCTAACTGCGATTATGGATCAGCTGTGATTTGATGGTTGTTCTACAGGGCTTGCTACACAACCAGTTAGGATGCCTGGTTGGGTATTTCCTGACTGTGGGTTGGAACTGCTTTTGAATGTTAGTAGGCATTTTGTTATGGTAAATGTTGTGCATAATCAGTACTGTTTTAAGCTTAACGATATCAACACATTTGAATAGATTGAGTTTTTTAAATATGGGAGTTGTGTGTTCATATTTACCAACACCACAGACTATTCGTAATACTTTTTTTTGAGATGTTATTATTTATTGTAGATTTGTTGAGAACGTGTTTCCCCATATTTCGGAGCAGTAATAAAGGTAAGGGAGAAATAGACTGTTATAAAGAGTATCTTTTCTTCAAGAATGTTCTCCAATTGAGTTTTTCGTCAACAAGCAGTCCTAAAAATGTACATGCACCAACTTTTTCTATCTCTGTATTGTAAATCTGTATAATGCAGTCATTTCTACTCTCAGACTTTGTATTGAATAACATGTAATTTGTTTAGCCACATTAAGGGATAATTTATTAACTGCAAACCAGTTACATAGTATTTCTAATTCTGCATTCACAATTTTAACAAGATCACCAAGATTATGATGGAAGCAGAGAATGGTGGTATCACCGGCAAACAAAATGAATTTGAATATGTCTGAGGTGTTGATAATGTCATTAATATAAATCAGGAACAGTTTTGGACCTAAGATTGATCCTTGAGGGACTCCACATGTTAAAAGAAGATTGTTTGATTTCGTCTCGTCTATGTCCACATATTGTAGCCTATTTATCAGATAACTCTTGACCCATTCTTTGGCTTGACCCCTTATGCCATAATGTTCTAATTTGTGTAGCAGTATGGTTCACAGTATCAAAAGCCTTTTTAAGGTCAATGAATATACCAGCTGTAATCATTTGTTTCTCAATGTTGTTGGTAATTTCTTCAACCAGTTCAATTACTGCTGAAGAAGTAGAGTGATTTTTCTGAAATCCATATTGGCTGGGGCATAGTGTGCATTAACTGTGCTGAGGAATGACTCCAGACGGTTGTTAAAGAGTTTTTCCAGGACTTTTGATAATTGTGGTTGTAAAGAAATGGGTCTATAATGATTAAAACTAGATTTATCACCAGATTTGAAAACCGGAATCACCTTCGCGATTTTCATTTCATTGGGAAAAATACCTTGTTGGAACGATTTATTGCATATATTTACTAGGGGGGCTACAATGTTTGGTGCGACTTGTTTAACAATATTCAGACTAAGTCCTAAATAATCCTTGGACTGTTTACTGTGTTGAGTATTAACAATATCAAGCAGTTCATTTTCTGTAATTGTGTTCAGGAACATACTCTGTTGGTTGCAGTTTTTCAGAAAGTCATCCACTTTAGATGAAGTTGGGCTGATGTCACTTTCAGTAAATAACCCATTAAAGCTATTTGCAACATCCGTTGGGGTTTTTCCTTCCGTTTGGAATTTCTTGAATTTGTTTCTGTTGTCAGTTATTTTCTTCTTAATTATGCTATTTATTACCTTCCAAGTGGTTTTCATATCTCCTATGGCATTTTCTAATTTTTCAGAGAAGTATCGTTTTTTAAAGTTTCTAAGGATTGTAGTCAATTTGTTTTTATACAATTTATAACGGCTTTCATCTTCAGTGCTTTTACTTTTCAAAAATGTCCTAGAGAGTGCATTTTTCTTACAGCAGGCGTTTTTCAGTCCACGAGTGAACCAGGGTTTTGAGTCATTATTATTCCTGTTCTTCATTTTAATATATGGACAACATTCGTTCATGTTTTGCATGAAAATCCTTACAAACTCATTATAGGATTTGTTTACATCTTGAATCTCAAATACTTCTTGCCATTTTTCATTTTTTAAGTTAATATTTAATTTATTTAGAGAACTGTCATTTAATGTCTGCTTAGTTATGTATGTATTTTG